AGGAATGCCTTTCACACCTGGAGAGCCTGGTAAACCCTAAAAGAGATAACATTTACATTTGGCATTAAGGGGATTGGAAATGATGTTAAAAAAACATCTTCCTCATTTTTTAATCATAAATTAATATTAAATAAAAATACTCAAAAGTATTTCTAGTCCTTTTACTTGATACTGAAGCACTTTGCTCTAATAACAGACCAAGATCAAATTCTTTCTACGTACAAAGAGATAAGGAGTATTATTCCTACTTCACAAATTGGCAAAAGGAGCATGGAAAAGTGAGGAGTTGTGGCTTTTTCTGGTTTGGATTAGAATGAGATTCTGAATCCCAGTATTCTGAGACTGGAGGCAGAGGGTTTAACAGATACTTTCTGTATCCATTTCATCCCCTCCTCACTTTTGTGCAAGACCTCATAGCAAGTATGCTTTTACTAAATTTTCTTCCAAGCTTAAGAGCTCATTTCATATTACAAATTTATTTCCAGTTCTGTTTTAATCCAGCTCCTTCTCCATACACTTACAGCAATGACTCCTATAGCATAGTGTTTCAAAGAAGTTTCTATTTAGCTTTTGACAACTGGCACAGTTAATGTGCAAGGATTACCTTCTAAAAGGGTCTGTAAAGCACTACTGATTCCCTGGAACTTCACCAGAGGGGATACACTGGAAAACTTGCCCTCATACTGAAAGAAGTATGAGTGTGATGCATTCCAGATGCTCTAAGCCAGCAGAATATGAAAAGGAGATGATTGTTCATCTAAGGTATGTTGGACTAGCAGGTCGGCTCTTCCAGCTCACCCTGGGATTGGGTTTGGCCCTGGTCTATACTATTAGACCAACTCTAATTGTGGGGTCACACCATAATATCCACAGGGTCTTAGACAGGAGAAGCCCTGGAAGAATTGTATACTGGTCACAAATGCTTCATAAGACCAAGTTACTCACTAGAGTACCATGAGGAGACTTAGGCTTTTGTGTAAAAGTTTTGTATATACATAGCAAAATTTCATAGAATTTCAGAATCCCAGCATGGTTTGGGTTGGAAGGGACCTCAAAGCCCCCCCAGTCCAACCCCTGCCATGAGCAGGGACACCTCCACCAGCCCAGGCTGCTCCAAGCCCCGGCCAACCTGGCCTTGAACACTGCCAGGGAGGGGGCACCCACAGCTTCCCTGGGCAACCTGGGCCAGGGCCTCACCACCTCACAGTCAAGAATTTCTTCCTCATATCCAGTCTAAATCTCCCCTCTTCCAGTTTAAATCCATTCCCCTCATTCTATCGCTCTCTGCCGTTGTAAAAAGTCCCTCGCCATCTTTCCTGTAGGACCCTTCAGGAACTGGAAGGCTGCAATAAGGTCCCCCCAGTGCCTTCTCTTCTCCAGGCTGACACTCCCAATTTCCCCTTGCATTACACATATTATTCCTTGGTCTATCACTTAGGTTTTCACTCAAAGTACTCCAATATTAGCACCAAACTTACCTATATATGGACTTTCTGTGATTTAAACTAAGCCTAACTTTCAAAGGTAAAATACCAGATACTCACTGGCAGTCCCTGAAGCCCTGCATCACCTGGAGCTCCGGGTTTTCCTGGTTCACCCTGAAAAACATTTTAAGTTGCAATTTATGCAAATCAAATAAAAGGGAAAAATTTATTTCTGGAACATAGAGCTGGAGTACTTTTGGATCTATAGGATGGGAAAGTTCATGCAGTTACCCTGATAATATGCATAAAGTCACAGGTAGCAGCACAATAAACAAAAAAACTACAGAGAGTGAACAAATCTAGGGCACTACCAAAGCTCAGGTATAAGTCAACTGTGTCTTACTTTTGCTCCAGGCATCCCAGGGATCCCTTCCCGGCCATCAACTCCTGGTAAGCCCTTGAAAGTTAAAAAAAATTTTAAAAATTAATGTATTGTTGGAGAGATTTTACCTAAGCACTCTGACATACAAATCAGAACGATGTGAAGCAAATGAAGAAATGAAATATACGTACAGACTCTCCTTTAGGCCCAGGGAGACCATTTATTCCTCTTGTACCTTGAGGGCCCTAAGAATAATAGTTTTTAAAAGTTAAAACAAACACATTGAAATGACAGACGCAAAGAATGTCAACACATACTCATTCAGGTCTGCATTACCTTGAGAGTACCAATTATGTTTTATGTTTATATGCTGTAAGTAAGCAATGTTTGCAAGTCAACACAAGCTGAAATTTGTCTGTGCTCACCCTTTCTCCCTTTGGACCTGCCTCTCCCAGTGGACCTCTCTGTCCTTGATCCCCCTACAAGAAACAACATAAATATTACTATTATTTTAGCAATAAAAGCAGAATAAATTTACTTGCATTTATTAGCTAAAACCCTCAGTAAACCAACAACAGTACAGTTCACACGTGGTTAAAGCAGACATCTTAAACTCACGCTAGATTTAAAAATGCAGTTTCTTAAAACTGCAGGTTACAGCTACATTTTATAAAACACAGCTCAAGCCATCCCCTAGGAATCCAGGAGTGTCTATAGCAAAGGATGTTGCACTCCCTTCTTCAGCCCATACAGTTACTGGCTATTCCAAGCATCACTTCCAGACTGGGGGGCAGCGAGAGGAAAGAAGGGCAAAAATTGCCCTGTACAGGTTTTGTTCTACTGAATGAATATTCTCCAGTTTAAAACCTGAGAAATCCCAAGCCACAAAACCTCTGATCCACAGCCACAAGGTTTCAGACTCAGGACCTAACTGGGAAGTGTTTGGCTAACACAGACTCTACTTACAGGTGCACCAGGAAGACCCTGGGGACCAGGATCACCATCAAGTCCACGAGCTCCCTACGAAACAAGCACATAACATAAAGCATTAAAATGAGGAGCTGAAACACTCACAACTTCTCTACAGCTGAGGTTTTTTAATAGCTCTAATTAAAAATAAATAAATAAATACCGCAAAGGAATTTTGGCAAGCTTTATTTTTAACTTCTCTTGGTTTTTGTGGAGTTAATACACTTTAACTATGAGGAAATGTAACTCAGAAAATGACATTGTTTATTCTCTAAAAAGTCCTATCAGACAGAAAGGAGGTAGACCTTTTCACACAACCTCAGAAAATGCCTGTTTCTTCTTTAATAATATTATCTCCTTCACCACATAATGGAATAGCATCAAAACATGAACAGAAATCAAGTGCAGTGAGGCTATTTTCATCACGTATTTTACAAGGAAACAATGCAAACTGCTATCCTGTTGGTAATTTTAAATGGAGAGAAAGAAAAAAATTTCAAAAATATTTACAGAGAAGAAGGAACTCCTTTGCCAAACAGATGCAGTAAATATTTCAAATAGACAAAACTGCACAAAACTGTAGGCAAATAGCAGAAGAATTAGAAGATACAAATGCCAGAAAAGCAAAATAAGATACTAACAGCTTAGCAAAAGTGTCTGAGAGGACAGGAAGGATCACTTATGACAAGACTCATAATCAGGACAAATTTGATGTTGTTTCTGAACACAGACAATCACAGAATAAGGTTTTTGTAATTTCCTTTCTGCAGAAGAAGAAAATGGCACGAGTGCTACGTTCTACTCCTTCCAGAAATGCTTACCGTATAGATTTAGCAAGATCATAATAGAAATGCAACAGTCAGTTTTGAAAGAACAGTTAGAAACAGTTTGATGAACAGCAGGAAAATTACCTGAGTCCATATAAACATAAATCCCACTGGCAGCAATTTAAGACACGACAGATGAATGGAAAAAGAATAAATTCTCAATAATAAAATATCCTGACAAAAACTGGAAGAGCAGAAGCAAAAGACTTCAGGAAGATGCAAATGACAGGAGGGACTGCTTAATAAATTTTAGCTTTAAATAAAATAGGCTGTCGTTTATAAGTGCCATAACTTGTTATCTTGCTAACTACACACTTGTGCACATGCCAAACTACTCTAAATCCAAGGATCAGAGGGAAAGGTGTGAAGCACGCATGTACTTCATTAATCAGAAGGACCAAGATGTCTTTCTTCCTAACCAGCAGTACAGTAGCTGTGGAAATGCAGCTGGCAGGAGAGAGAAAATGCAGAGGGGAAAGAAAAAAAAAAAGGAGAAATTTAAATGAGATTTAAAGAATTTGGGTTGTACATTTTTCCATCCAGGCCATTTTATGGAAAGAAAGGTTAATACTCACTTTGGTACCTTTAGGTCCCATTATACCAGTTATACCTCTGATACCCACGATGCCCTGAAAAACGAGAAGTACATTCAAATTTTGCTTAAATCTTATTTTACTAGTTAAAAAAAGGAGAAATCCAGCTGCTTCCATATTAGAGTATTTAATGTATATGGTAATTTGATATTTTACTAATGTAAGACTTTTTAAAAGACTAACAGAACTATCAGGTTGAATGCTACAACCACAAATATGCGTTAAGGACTGAAAAACCCCACTGATTTCTCTTCTTGATTACCACAGAGCTGAAGCATTTTCCCTGTGTGAGAGGAACACACGAAGGCCAGATGTGCAGAAGTGCTAAGTTGTCGTAAGTGGGGTATTGGACAGATGCAGGAGAAAGGCACCAGACTTTAAAGAACTCTAGAGGTGGACAAAATTGGGCAAGGATTTTGAGACTAAAAATGCTAAGTTTATATGTCTGACTGAGTAGACATCCTAGTGCAGCAGGATGTATCATAACTACCCTCCTCTCCCTTCAAAATACAGTTGTGTGAGGAATTTTGCTTCAATTTTTTCCTCTTCCTGAGAGACTGAAACTCCACAAGCTGTCTCTTCTCTGCAGAGAAACCAAACTCGCAGCCATAACGTGTTTTTCCTGCAATGAGAATGCACTACAACTGTGTTCATGAAACAGCTGCACACACTTCAACACAGCATGGACAAATCTCTCCATTTTTAGAGTGCCTCTAAAGCCTTGTTTATCATCTTTTCCACAGGCTGTCAATCTGCCATCACTTTCTGCACATTGTGAATCCCACATTTTAATAAGAAACAATTATCCAGTTATTTTAAACTTTGTTTGTAAGGTCATCAACTGGTGAAACAGTGAAGTAAAATGAGTAATGCATTAAATAAAAAGGGAAAAGAAAGTCAATCTCTAATTGGTTTTTAATTCCACTGCATTATTTCACAGTGACTGAAGAACTTTACCAACCGAGTTAAATTAATTGGTCCCCACAGGCCCTTCAAGCAGCAGAAGCTGCATCCTACACAAGTACTTTCTCTGCACCGGGGTCACAGGGATACTTCTTGCAGCATCAAGCATACGAAGGATCACATCCTTTCCTTTACTTTGTCTGCATTTTTTTTTATCTTTCTGTAGTCCTAATCCAGAGGTTTATGTTGTCTTCTGTTTATGGAGAATTCTGTAATTTAGGATTTGGATGCCATGTGAATCCAAGTAAGCTCCTATATAATATAACATCTAGACACCAATGGCATTATAGTTTCACACCCAGGAAAAAAGCACAAGACTTCATCAGAAAATAAACTATAGAAATTAAATGTGTTATACCTATGCTCATTTCTCTGTCTTAGAATGACCCCTTTATGCTGTTCCCTTATTGCCTGTTCAGCTGTGGTAACCATGTTTTAAACAAATACTAGCTTTGCAAGGATGAAGTCAGAGTCATCAAAATTATGGAAAGGAAAGCCAAAGAAGAAAAACCAAATAAAACAACCCAACTATTTGCACAATCTAAGACAAAATCTAACAAAATCTAGGACATAGGATACTTTTTAAGATAAGCCTTTCCATAGGACTATTTAGAGCTTTGTGACAAGAGAGAATGTAGCTTTTTTGGAGAGACTTAAATAATTCTACTTTCACTCATAGACAATACAGCAGAATAAAGAAAAAGGTGTGTGGAGATTTCATAACATCTGTTTTCTTACAATAAGAAGAAAAAAAAACGACATAATAAAGCAAATGGGTAACACTACGTAAGAGGAAATACTTTACTGGAGGGCCTTGAGCTCCCACTTCACCACTAGGTCCTTGGTCTCCTTCTTCACCCTGGGAAAGCAAAAGGAACACATCTGTAATCAATCCATGCCACGCATATTGCTCCCTCATCGTAGGATGTACATTTACCACTTACTGCTTTTGGTCACCATGTCCTGCTTGAAGGAAATCCAAATGAAGTCACACTACTTCCTCAGAGCACAGACAGATACTCCTTTAGGTTCACATTCTACTCAACTATTAGTCAAAAGGGTAACTTCAGAGCGACTCCAGTATAAAGAATAATGATATTTTACTCTTAATCTGTCCCTCCCTTTTTTCTTGGTGTTAATCTCTTTAGGTTTTCTTGTTCTTTTAGACCGAAAGCGTAATGAAGGTATATTCATATATGTGAAAGGACTGGATATGCTACTACCTCTGCACCACAACACAATGTTGCACTTCAATTTTTTTTGAAATTAAAATGGTAAAATGCCTTGTTCAACACCTCTGTGGTTACATGATAACCTCTCTCATACAACGATAGCACACACTAATGGAACAACAGTACTTACTGCCAGTTTAGTTAGCAAAATGTGAGTTTGGAAAATAATACAACTGCTCAACATAAAGGCAAAAACAGGCAAGCTGTTTCTAATAAATGAACCTTCTGTTCAATGTGCTAAGGAAGAGAGCTGGGGTTTTTTAAAAACTTTTCTCTGATTTTTTTTTGTCCTCCAGGATTGAAGCATGGACCAAGGCAGTGTAGATATACTCAATTTTTCTTACAAATATTTCAACATTAAACAAGGTTAATTCAAAAGGAACACCGTAAAAGAGTTCACGTTTCAGTCTTCAAGCTGAATTGGACTTGGCTTCTTTACTGAAGTTATTCTCTTTCTTTGCCTATGAACTTATACTGTGTTCTGTCCCTCTCAAACACATTTTTCCCTCTCATTCTTCCTGTCACTACACATTCATGCCACAGAACAATTTACTTGGTAAAGCCACAGAATTCTTCTGCATTTGAATGTCTGCCAGTTTTCCAATTAATAAATTTCACTTTAATTTTTGCCGTGAGCTCCGTAGCAATTAAACTGAATGAAGAAACTAAAAAGCAAGAGGAGTACGACTTCAGCATTATAATAAATACAGAATACAAGTGAATGAAGCATAGAGGTGTGCCTTTGGGTGCTCTGGAACATGATGATATGTAGCATCTCTTCATGCTTTCTGGTAAAACAATTAATAGTTCTAACCAAATGTAATGCTGTTTTTGAAGAAGAGCCTAAACTACAATTAGCTTGCCAAAACCAGTGGTTTGTATCTTTTTTGTTTTTTACCTTATAACCTTGTTTTCCTGGTTCACCAGACTCTCCTTTTGAGCCTTTCTGTCCCTAAAATAAACGTAAAAACCAAAATCAATAAATAATTAGAGATTATTCAAAATTACAATAGTTTTGTGAATCTGACACAGACTCTGCAGAACTATCTTGCAGTTCCCTCTGCAATCCCCACTCACCACCGCTTCCTCATACATCCAGTTAACACCACATATTAAAAACCATGTTCAAAAAGGCCTGCTCCTGCACCTAACAAGGCTGCATTTCTAGGCATGTTAGTGCTTCTGCTCATGTTGCCCCACAACCATTTCCTCAGGCCAGGAACCAGCATACATTAAAAAAAAACAACTTAGATAAAATGAGACTCCAAAAGTGTTTCAAAATTAGAATTCATAGGTCTTGAAGGAAGACAGAAAGAAGGAAAAATGACTAAGGATTTGGGGGAATATTTAGTTTCTGGAGACAGGCTACAAATAGTCCAGAAAGGGAATGAAGCAATCCTTCACATATTCTCATCCTTTCAGGACCCCACATAAATTTTACCCTGAAGATTACAGCAGCAGTAAGAGACTTCAACAACTAGAAGTTATTTTGGCAGTCAAGAGTTGGAATAACCCTAAGTATCCAGACTGATGCAATGGCTTTTGAAATTAACAGTGAAGTGCCCTTCTGTCCAGCCAGCAATTACCATCCCTAGTGCTTTGAGACAGCATCTCTGCAAGGCAGTGTCCTGGTTTACTGGGGCAGAATTTTAAAGTCACTTTTCTGTTGAGGAAAACTGTGATTTTTGTAAGGACTACAACACTATCTCATGGGAACAAAGTCATAAAACTTGGTTATAGTTTTCAGCTAATGCTGGTATGTGATGCTCAAGGCCTTCAGTGGTCTTGAGATAAACAGGTGCAGAGGGAAGCAGAAACCCACGGGAGCTGATTCCAGGCTGACCAGTTAATACTATTCCATACCAGAAGTCATATTCACTATAAATCGGGGAGTTTGCTGGGGATGGCCTTTGTCCTCCTTCTTCTTCCCTCCTCCATGACATCTCAAAAGAGACTTGATTACTGTCCTAGCCTGAAGCCTACTTCCCCACAATACCGGCTGAGTATAACTCTGTGTATCATAACTGTTATTAATATTAGTTTTTATTATTATTAGTTTATTAAATCTATATCCATTTCAACCCACAAATCTCCTTTCTTTTTCTCAGGGTACCAGGTGATAGAGCACCTGTATAAACCACAACAGGCAGATTTTCTTACCTTCATTCCCATTAAGCCAGCATGTCCTGGGCGGCCAGGTGGGCAAGCATTGGGACACTGGAAAAGCATCCACATAGTTACTACCATATAGGCTGAATAAAGTTGTCTGAGGTTATTTAAAAAATTAAAACCATGGGAAACTATCTTACCAATGGGTCGCCATCTTGCAAGCCAATTGTTCCCTAGATGAAGTGAAATTAATCAAAGTCAGTAAAAGAGAAATAAGCAGATCTGACTCATTAGACAACACAGTCATCAGACAAAACAGAAACTACTACTGTCTAAAGCTGGAATCACAAATATAATCAACCAAAGGGTCTCTGACATGAAAAGCACCTAAACTGTAGGATTTTACTGCAGGACTCCAGGTACTTGCAAAATCCTGTCCTCTAACTTAGCTGAACTTTTCTGAAAAACAAAATACTTCTTTTGGTTTTTAAGCTACCTAAAATGTATTTTCTATTAAATACAGAAGAATTCTATTAAAAATAGAAATATTAACTCTATTTCCATTATATATATCTGAACACCATGAATTTCCAAGAGAATCCATGACAATTTCTGTCATAAGGATAACTTACTTTTCCAGCTTACTACCATTCTGCAAAAGATTCAGACCTTTACAGATCAAATACTCTTCCCACCACACAAGTACTGGTAGATGAGTGAAATGTCTGGCAGTTAATGGGACTGCAATAAATAGAGATCAGTGTACAACGAGATGGACTCGGTAGGGGGGGGAAGGCCATTCCTTGTAATAAATCAAATACTTGATAGAAGTTAACGGGAGGCTTATGAGGCACAACAGGGAGAAATACGACTTCACAGCAGCAGCTGGATTCTTTAAAGCTCAGTGAGAGGAAGCACACTGTTTCAAAGAGAAGCACAGGAGGATTTAAGGAATGCGCTGGTCTCCTTTTATACAGGATTAAAAACAAGAAGCTGAAGGTATGTTGGGGTCCATAAAGTCATCAACTGGAGTGGGACTGTGGCACTTCAGAAATCCAAAAAGGACAAAACTGCCAAGGAACAGAAGCAGCATACGCCATTACTGTGAATTTATTTTTACTTGATTCCTAATACTCTTCTCCCCTTTACCACTCACTTTTCCTGTAATGCCTCTGCCAATTCTCTGGCGACTTGTGTGAAAACAAGAAACATGGCATAAACAAAGCATATGGATTTAGGGTCTTGTCCAGCAGAGGAAGAGCAGCAGCTTTTAAAAAATACATTAGCATGACACACATTTCCCAGCGGTTTGCATTTCACAGCACCCAGCCGCTAATGTGTCTGCCAAATGCTCTGTTTTATCTCTCTGGGCAGGTAAATAGCCCTGAGACACAGGCATAACACACATCCCTCCTCCCAGGAGGCTCAAAGAAGATAACCATTCCCCTGGAGAGGCGAAGCGCTGGTGTCAAGTTTTCTTCTAACCCTTGCAAGTAGCAGGCCTGGTTGCAAGACATTAAAGCTTAACCCACCTGGGAGCAGATATTTCTGGTTCATGAGCCAAATATCAAATTTGTCTCCTCCCAACAAAGAAAAGTCTACCCCTGCTGAAGACCAGAAACTCGCTTTCTAAATGAAAGATCAAATATTGATATGATTAAATGAGTTGTAGCTCAGGCTTCAAACACGAGCCTCTAGACACTATGAATTAATGTAGCCTGCTGAAATCCTGAAGTAGGTATTGAGTTGCAGGACTCAGCTGTAGGACTTGAGGAGAAGTTCTTGAGGTAGGATTTGAGGAGGAGTTCTTGTGGGACTTGAGGAGTAGCAACAATATGCAATTCGGGCAATAGCACATGTTAAAGGCAATCACTTACCCGAGGACCTGGTGGTCCTGGTGGCCCTGGTGGCCCTCTTTTTCCTGGATCTCCCTAAAACAGGGCAAAGGAATTTTGCTGATTCACAGTAATGATGACAACGAGCAGTTACATATTCATACCTCACAACAACAGTGAGAAATGGAGTAGCTAGAGAAGAACAAGCTAAGTCGCCAATTAAAACCACAAAATAGGTCCCAGAGTAGAATGGGAAAACTGATTTTTTAGTAGACATGTTGCGGAATAGGAGCCACAAAAAAGCAATAAATTCTTAGCTGTTTAAGCAAGCTGAAACATCTGACCACAGGATCATCTATGCACTCCTAACTGCTAATTAAGTTCTGAATTCAAAGAATCCCAGTAACTGGCAAAAACGCCCAAAGCAGACAGAGGAAAAACTCCACTTTTTCAGAACCCAAGATGAATTTACAAAGTTAGAATCTTCTCTTGTTTGTGAGGTTTTCATGTCCATTGCTTTCAGAAGTAAAGATAAGACAAAAGCTCTACAAATTATTTTTTTCTGAATGCTTTAAACTAAAATAAATCCAATATTCTGACAGGAACCACCCTTTAACTCAATACTGTCATTTCAATATTATGTTTGAAATGTTACTACATCATAACTTAAATTAACAAGATGAATATAGGAAAAATAGTAACTTATTCTCACAATGCATGAGCTATAGAGCCATAGGTTTAAAAACACTAAAAGAGGAAAACTTCTTTTCCACACAGTGTGTAATTACATTGTGGGACTCACTATCACAACGTGTTCTGATGCAGGCAGTCTCTGAACCGCCACCTGCCAGATAATGTGATAGTATGACAAAAAATGTCATTTCACAACCAGCCTGCACACTTCCCTAGGTATCCATTATAACCCTGGCTACACACAAGACAGTGAGCTAGATGGATCATCTTCCGAAATAAATTGGCAGGTTTTAATATTCTTTTTTACATTCCTTTACATGACTGAGAGTAACACACGGGGAGAGGTATGCATTTCAAAGCAGGTTTCACTGAACAAAATTTTAATGCTATTTCACATTTCAAGCAAAAACAAAATTAACAATTGGCTTCAATTTGCATTTTAGCGGCAAAGTATGACAAAATATGACAGTGTCCTGACACTGACTGCACAGTTCAGCAGTAAGGTCAGTAGATGCTGTCACATTTAAAATGAGATTAAGAAGAAATACTGAACTGCCACGCTCACTGATATGCAAATGGAAAACTGAAGTGGTGTGTGGTCACATACCACAGTGTATATGGGAGAAGACAGGAGTCAAGCTACAGGTCTGCTTATAATGTTAAGTTTTACACTTCCTGTCTTTCTGGCAGATCTGGTTTTGATTTTAACTTTCCTTGAGTAATCACAGAACCATAGAATGTGTTGGGTTGGAAGGGACCTTTAAAGCTGATCCAGTCCAACCCCTGCAGTGAGCAGGGACATTGGTACTGGATCAGGTTGCTCAGGCCCCATCAAGCCTGACTTTCAATATCTCCAGAGATGGGGCTTATAGCATACTAGATGAAATTTTTAATTCTAATCTAATGGGTGGCCCCTTGGTTTTTATTTCTGATGAGTTCCAAACACAACCTTTCCTTTACCAGTGATGGCTGCAGAGGAGAAAAACATGTTTTCAAGTGCTGTTATAACCCAAATAGTGTTTAGACAGCACAGTAATTCTTCAATTTGTTGTCTAAGTACCTTCTAGCAACTGAATAAACCTATATTTGCAGCGAATTTGGCAGTACTTACAGGTGGACCAGCACGACCTACTTCCCCAGGAAGTCCTGCAGCACCAGCTGGACCCTACAACAACCAAGTTAAATATTATTATTAAACCATACAACACCTCTATAACAAGCATCCAAGGTGTAAGAACATGTAATTATGTCAAACACAAACTATGCCTTCAGACACCAGTATTCTTCCCCCATATACCGCAGACCTAGGCAACCTCATTAGTAGCTGAAGAAAGCATACATAATAGACACAGGACATCAGGACTAAAATAGTCTCTTTTTTTCACTGAATTACTTTTTATTACAGTACAACAGCTTTATTTGATATTTGAACAGATTCATTAAACTGTATAGTTATGAATTGTAAAAACGATACTTACAGCTGGTCCAAGAAGCCCCTTGCCCTGTGAAATATGAAAAAAGGTCAGAAAGGTGGGGAGGTTCCACACTCAGTCAAACTGTTTGCCAAGAACGGATTATTCAGGATAAATAGATACAAAAAACCCGATATTTGATTCTGCAAAATCATTTTGAAATCTTGTTTCACTGATGTTAAATATCGATTTTTTTATTAGCTAATCAGTATCAAGAGAAAAATTCAATTATTTAATAAGTTGCCTTGCAGTAGAATTTATTTACACACATTTACAAACACATGCACTTCCACAAAGGAATGAAGACACTAAAGCCTCTCAGTTCAGCTAATTATCAAGTAACATGACAAACACACCTATGCTATAATAATTTCCTTCTAACAGTGCATTTAAAATGATAATAGAAGAGACTTTTTTTTCCCACTAGTGCTTCCCCAAGGTCTGAATCCATTAAATTAGGTCTTTTTTGTAACCAGAAGGAACACCAAACTGCTCCCATTTACATTTTCCATCAGTATTGCTCTGAATCATTTTAATGAGAAGTGCACAAGATACAAATGGCTTTCTGCCTATTGGGACAACAGACTTCCTCTAAGAAAACAGTGCCCTCAGCCTTGCATTACTAAAGCAAATGGATAATATAAGGAGAACCGTGTCAATAATGTGTATGAAATGCTAGCATATAAAATCACCAACATCTTACACCTTCAGGAGATCTGATGTAATACGGCACCCAGGCTTAGAGGAGTTTAAAAGCCACAGAATCACAGAATCGCTCGGTTGGAAAAGCCCTCTGAGATCATCATGTCCAACCATTCCTGTCTACCCACTAAACCATATCCTTAAGTACCTCGTCTACCCGCTCTTTAAATACATCCAGGGATGGGGACTCCACCACCTCCCTGGGCAGCCTGTTCCAGCTTCTGACGACCCTCTCAGTAAAGAACTTCCTCCTTATTTCTAACCTGAACCTCCCTTGGCACAGCTTGGTGCCATTTCCCCTTGTTCTGTCCCCCATCACCTGGGAGAAGAGACCAGCACCCACCTCTCTACAACCTCCCTTGAGGTAGTTGTAGGTGGTGATGAGGTCTCCCCTCAGCCTTCTCTTCTCCAGGCTAAACAAGCCCAGTTCCCTCAGCCGCTCCTCATCAGGCTTGTTCTCCAGACCCCTCACCATCCTTGTGGCTCTTCTCTGAACACGCTCCAGAATCTCAACATCCTTCTTCTAGTGAGGGGCCCAGAACTGAACACAGTACTCGAGAATATAACACCAGGACTGTATCTGCAACTGTGCCTTTAGAAAACTTGGTGTAACACATGGAAAATTTCAAGCATTTATCAGTCCTTCCACTTTTACCATTTAATACACAGCAGAAAGCAAACTCTTTCATCTCACATAACCTACGTAAATGCCTTTGCTATTACTTAGCACTCCCTTGCTGCAATTCATCTGGGGGTGTTTATCTGACCCACGGAGCACAGGGAGTGCAAGAGCACGGGCAGTAACCTCCAGTTTGCAATCACCTGGTTCAGAGACACTGGGAAGCTCCACATTTTCATCACGGACCTGCTGCCATCCCCCACAAAGAGTCCAAATACCACCAGTATTTGTACACGTACCCCATGCCAGAAGTGTGCTTTAGTAGACCTTAAAATATGTTCAATTTCTCTGTCACTAAGTACACACAATCCTATCCATATGTCAGATCTGTAAAACACTATAGCAATATAATAGAAAAGTTGGAGGGAAGTTAACAGAGAGAATGGATTGAAGGCTGCAATACACACACTGAATGTAGCAGCCCCCGGTCCATTTTGCAGGGCCAGATCAGAGATATCAGCATATTAGATGGTAAATTACTTGAATTAATCAAAAGTATTCTACTAATTTTGTAAATCTGCCATTTGGGAGACTACCTGCAAAAGAGATGAGGCAAAGAGAATTAAAACTAAATGATGAAGCAGGAAAAAATAGAGCACAGGGACAGTAAAATAAAATAACTGAAGATGGCCAGGATACGTTCTGGGGAAGAACGGGTGACAGAAGCAGAAGAGCAAATACCATATATAAAACTTGAGAGACTTGATATTCTCTTTCAGTTACTTGGCCAATAAATTCCACTGGATGAGCTTAAAAACCAGCGATAATAATTTAAAACTAATTCATGTTGTAGCCAAGGCTTCTGACTTTCTGTTTGTACTGAGCATTTTAACAACTTAAACAAGGGTTTTTTGTCAGAAATTAAGTCTTTGGATAACCATCCAGACACTACTCCCCTTGCAAAAGGCCACTGATTGAATTCAAAGCAGTGCATAATTACACCTGAATTCTCAATTAAACGGGTAAGCAGTATGCAGATGCAGAAGTGTGCTCACTGTGTTTCTAGTAAGAGTGGTCTCATGGATCAAACCAAAGACCTGCGAAGGTTAAAAAACCCAGAGCTTCTCAAAAAGTCACTGAGAATCTGAACCATCGCACTCCAGCAGTACCACTCCTAGCCCTTGTTTGCTTTGTCTTCTTCAAGATTAGGTTTCATTACTCAAAAATTAATCTCACTAAAGGTGAGAAGATCGGTATGGGCCATTTCTTGGAGAAACTTCCACTAACTGCTCTATTTCTTCAGCAGCTTAAAGCCATTCATCAAAAGGAAAGCCTATAGAAATAGAACTTCCCCAAGAGATTTACTCTGAGCATTAATCTTTCCATATGAATTCAGCGTATGCAGTTAACAACCACAGCGCTACTAGGCTTCTTCCTAAGGTTAATCCTTCTACTTCACATTTTAACCTTAGTAATTAAAAGGGTAATGACACAAGGTGATTAAGCATAGCTGTCTTTTCTTTGCCTTTAATAACTACAAATTCTCATTTCTTCATTATAAATACTCCTGCAGATTCACCTTTAAATACAAGGTCCAGCCGCTTATTAAGCAGAGGCAGAACAACTCCAAAGGCAATCCCTACCGAGCTTCACTGAAGCGTCATTTTATCACCTTAAGACTGAAAATCTCAGGGCAAACAAAAATCGCTCAACTTTGACCAACGGTCCAAAATCTCAGCAGATTTCTTGCTTTTACAGTCTCAAAATATGGTCACAAAAGACCTGAATCAGGTAAGGGCTGCTCTGAATTCTACCTTGACAAGTTGGTTTCCCTTGCTGCTTTCCCATAGTAACGTCTCCACTTCTAAGTTGAGATTAACCCTCTACACCTATTTTATATACTCAATTTTCTGAAGGCTCTTAAATTATTTGTTCTCACATTGTTCTGTTAATGGTAGGGTTAAATCATGTATGTTTTCTAAAAATCAGTTTTTATTTCAGTTGACTAAATACTACGGTATATTAACCTAGGATTTCAGTAATCCAACTTTAATTCCCCATTTTTTCCTCTCCCATAGTTGTTCATGTACACTTTTTTCCATATATTGAGTAACGTATCTAACAAAGGTAAGCTATCTCTTCATTGCAGCTACCCATTTTAAAATAAATTGCAAATGACCCAGAAATTACTTCCCCATCCACTTGACAGCAAAAAAAAATGAAAATAAACAAATATACATACAAACTTAACCCCCTAGCAGAAAAATGTAGGGCTTCCAGTCTACCTAGATGCTACCTCAGTTCTGCTCTTTTCTGTGACTAAATTTAGCTCATATATTGAGACTGCAGATTGAACAGCCATTATAAAAGTATTACCTATTTTCCAGATTTTCAGGTAAGAAGCAGCATCCATGAAAATTAAATGCAAATGTCCACACAGAATGATTCATCTTAAGTTTGAACGTGTCTACAATGCAACAACTTCAAAATAACGTCATTTCCTCTCTGGCCAAATTATCAAAATGATTGTTTAAGATAAATTTAATGAAAGTTAGTGGGACAGGGTCAAAAATAGAAAGATACAGTCCAAGATACAGAATTTCACAGCAAGGAGTGCTATATTAGAATATAATGCCTCTTCTATTTAATTCCCATAATTTCTCCAAAAATAATCTAATCTATAGTTTAATTCTGTGCAGCCTTATTACAATTTCATGCCAGTCATCTTATTCTACACTCATTTTCCTTGAGGTTTTTCCTACCTGATTTCCTAAATAACCTAAGTTTCTACATGCCAACCATCATTCATTTCTTCAACTCTGCAAAATTCCTAAAATTCACAAGTATTTTCAGCCCCCAAAAACTGATGTTGAAGCCATCTGCATACTGACCAGAACAGTACTCTTCGCATGTCCTTTCAGTAGTATCTCCACACTTTGATATAAAGACAAAGAGGTTCCTTAATGTATGACTTTAATATCTTATGAGTTCTCTGAAACGTCAGAAATAGTTTCTGGCTCTTCTTCACTACATTAAATGGTAAGAAATCTTTATATTGATACTTAAGGTCTCTTCATATTACTTACCGGAAGTCCACGAGCACCTGGCGGTCCTGGCTCACCCTTGAAAAGATAAATATTGACAAAATAATGCAAACATGCTGGTTAGCCTGACCTCTGATGTTTATTTCATTTGTCCAATGCTGAAGAAGTCAGGTTTCACTGTTCTGGCTCCCTCAGGGTATGACTGTGGTATAATTATAGCACCACGAGATGAAAAGTGCCTCGCCATTGCTGAGGATCACAGAATCACAGAATCGTTCGGTTGGAAAAGACCTCTGAGATCATCATGTCCAACCGTTCCTGTCTACCCACTAAACCATATCCCTAAGTACCTCGTCTACCCGCTCTTTAAATACATCCAGGGATGGTGACTCCACCACCTCCCTGGGCAGCCTGTGCCAGCTTCTGACGACCCTCTCAGTAAAGAACTTCCTCCTTATCTCTAACCTGAACCTCCCTTGGCACAGCTTAGTGCCGTTTCCCCTTGTTCTATCCCCCATCACCTGGGAGAAGAGACCAGCAGCCACCTCTCTACAACCTCCCTTGAGGTAGTTGTAGGTGGTGATGAGGTCTCCCCTCAGCCTTCTCTTCTCCAGGCTAAACAAGCCCAGTTCCCTCAGCCGCTCCTCATAAGGCTTGTTCTCCAGACCCCTCACCATCCTTGTGGCTCTTCTCTACAGTCAACACTAACAGGATCAATATGATGCCACCATCCCTTACTGCTGGCTGGGGAATGAAAGCTGCTTTGGACTGTGTGAAAAGGGCCCCATGGGTCTGCATTCTATAGATTTTTTAATTAATTTTAATTACTTGCATAATCAAATTATTTTTCATTAATTGCATAGGGACAAACAAAAATCCTGCTTAAAAAAATAAAATCCCAGGATTTCATGCATCATTTTGTTCTTACCTTCTGTCCTTTTGGTCCCGTGGCTCCACGTGACCCATCAGGTCCTGTGAATCCCTTTGGAAGTAACGTATACAATGTTAATGCAAAGGTTACGTGGTTTTCCTAATTGCAACAGAAAACATTCTGAAATACAGAATAATGAAGTTATTAAATGAGATGAGGAACTGCAGGAGACTTACAATTCAAATGCTTATTTACATGTACAGACAGAACTGCCCAAATTCAATGTACTTCTGGTGACAAACAGAGGCACAGGAGTGCCTGTGACATGTGAGCTTCAAAAATTAAATCACAATTAACTGAACTTGTGATCTCGTATGATCTTACTTCCTCTCAATGGGAGATTGACTAATTTAGTCTATGGCTCAGGTTAAAACCAACTGTCAGTGTTTTCCATTTCGAATACATCATTCATTGACAAAAAAAGAGAATTAACAAAGCTGCCAGGCTGGATTGTAGGTTAATCTTTGAACTGTACTTGTCTATCTGGCTAAAATTAAAAAGCAATCAAGATATTATAACTGTAAATACATTTTGAGTTACTTTATTTTCTTCCATTTCCAAAATTTTAACCAGCTTATATAGCTTAGAAGTTTCCAGATATTCATAAAAACCTCTTGCTTTTACATTTGTCCAATACTTTTCTTTTTTGGTACACTTCCAGCAATTCAGTGCTCGCCCAAAGGGATGTTTTCTCTAATAATTTCCTTTCAAAAGCTTACATGATCATTAGAGGCAATTACTGTACAGTATCTTTACTCAGTCTATTAAACCTGACAATGAAATCATTAGTGAAAGCAGAACAAGATTTAAAAAGTCAGAACTGACTCGCCAATTAAAAATGGAAGAAGGTATTACAAATCTAAATCTCCAATTAAAAGTGGAGTGCACAGTGGGAGTACAATAAGGTCCCATGTTTTGTCTTCAAGTGAAAATAAAAAAGGTTCACCATTACACAACACAGTGTTCTAGTATTACAAATTCACTCATCCACTAACAGAATCATAGGATCACAGAGTGGTTTGGGTTGGAAGGGACCTTAAAGCCCCCCCAGTCCAACCCCTGCCATGGGCAGGGACACCTCCACCAGCCCAGGCTGCTCCAAGCCCCGGCCAACCTGGCCTTGAACACTGCCAGGGAGGGGGCACCCACAGCTTCCCTGGGCAACCTGGGCCAGGGCCTCACCACCTCACAGTCAAGAATTTCTTCCTCATATCCAGTCTAAATCTCCCCTCTTCCAGTTTAAAACCATTCCCCCTTATCCTATCACTACACTCCCTGATACAGTCCCTCCCCATCTTTCCTGTAGGCCCTCTTTAAGTACTAGTATATGTTTTAATATATAATTTAAAATACTAGTTTGCTGTATATAATCTTTTTTGGGATGTTTTAAATTAAATTATAAAATTATCCTACCACTTAGGTAAATTAAACATAAGTTTGCCTGCCCCCTGGCACAAGATCTAAGTACTAATGCAACAATCTTGCTTCATAGCAACAAATGCTTTCAAACATTGCTCTCGAGAGAAATACGAAGAGTTGCCCAAAAACGTATGAAGGTATTTTCATTGCCACCAATTTACTCAAGAGATACAACCCAAAAGGCTATCGACACTAGATGATGTTGACACTTTATTCTTCTATATTATTTTCCACAAAGAAAAGAAGATACATCAGCAGGTAGAGGCTCTGCAGTGGCTGAAGTCTGGGAGGTTTTAATTTGTAGTAACAGCTATATGGAAATCACAGTTTTTCCTCAGAAACCGAGTTAAAATTCATGCTTAAGCTTCAATTTAGTAAAAAGATAACTGTTCACTTTAACATCAGGTTTACAGGGCTGATTGAAATTATTTCTTTTCTTCCCATTTTCTCCATC